TTTAAAAAAAAAAAAAAAAAAAAAAAAAAAAGAGGTGAACACTTGGCTGCTGCTTTGCCAGAGACTCCCCTGCGATGCTTGCGCTGACAGCCCCAACCAGAGCCTGCGCACCCCAAGGCCTCCGCCCGCCTCGCGGGCTCTGCTTACTCTGAGGAGCAGTCTGCTTTGTTAGAACTGTGCTTGTGCTCTTTTCTTCGTGTTGAGTTTTCATTGCTGACGACGACTCTTGAGAAAATGACAGAAAGTTCCCGGATCCTAAGTGCAGCGTAAAGACACGGGTTGGTTACCGCAGGTGAAGAGTTGCTGCTGTTAACGGGGGTGTTAGCGCAGTTTCTTACCTGCCGGTTAACGTGGCGTTAGTGATGAACCCTGTGTCCCGATCCGATATCGGGGAGGGTTCTTAAACAATCCCGAGAGTGAGATTAAGACACAAACGAGGTCCGATGCTGCATAACCTTATAAACTTTATTTTCTATAACAACTAATTAGAGCGATAGGACAGAGAGGAAAAGAAAGGAAAAGGTCGGAATCCCTAAGCAAGAACACGGTAGAGGCACAACTAATTACCACCACCACGACCAGGGATCCGGCGATGTTCTGTCGGTCCGATGGTGCTCCATGTTCCTGGCTCTGAGTTGGTTCCCCTCTCCAAGTTGGTTTCCCTCTTCTAGCTGGTTTCCCTCTACAAGTTGGTTTCCCTCTTCCAAGGAGTACAGTCTGTCTTTTTTATAGTCCCTGTCCCCACAGTTTGCCCGCCCATTTCCACAGGGGTCATTGTTGTAGGTGCCACCCCGTGGTCCTCCGTGCACGCATGCCCGGGTGTCCATGGTGGTCGTGCTGGCGAGGGGCCGATCTGTCTCACCGTGGTTTTCCCTCCACCCGGCTCACGCGTAGGCACAGCTCGATGGGGGACTGCTGGTGTCCTCGTCTAGGGCGGATGTGGTTTTCGTCGGGGACTGTGTGTTTCCTTCAAGATGTGCTCCTTTATGCTGAGTCAGGAAGTGGTCGTCGTGGAGACAGCGATGTTGAGACATACTAAAAGTCCAAAAAGTTCCTTACACCCTGTCAGTCAGATGCGTTTCATGAGACCAATTAAAAACTGCATCGCCCCGATTACACTAAAAAGTGCCCTAGACATCGAGCAAATGTTTTCTGCCTTAAATCAAAAGAGTGAGTGGCGCTTGCTGGAGCTGGGAGCCCTCACGCGTTAACCAGTCAGCCCTCCTGGGTCCCCTTCCTGAGGAGGAGTTACTGGCCACGGGACAATCCCTGCTTTCTGGGTTGGAAAAAAAGGAATTGAAGCTGGGAAATCTTTTTATTGTGTTGTGGTAGATCCCCCCTTGCTGACTGTGCTGTCAATCTCTGACTCGTGCGTCCTGTGACACCATATATAATAAGTTCAGGAGAGGTGTCTTGTAACTCCCGCACCGCTGATTGCTGACACAGTTTTCACAGAGTGATTAAAAATACATGCTCATTTACAAGTCACCGAGGAAGCTGCTAGAGATACAAAGTAATTAATGGTTTACTGACAATAATGCCAATTTCTTTTTAACTGCAGCAAGCCTTTGAAGCTATAATTGGGACCCTAATGCTTGCAATGAAATATTGCTGCAGTTCAACAGAATTTGTGTTTTGAACTTTTCCATCATTACTCAGACTTCCTAACGCAAATGCTGCTGTTTGCGCTCGCTAAGATAATCCAAGTCTGGAGTAATTACTGGATTCAACTCTTCATGGGAATAATTTATTGTGAAATTATTTCAGTCGTGTGGTTATTCGTACTTTTAATAGCAGTATTTTATAATCACTTAACCGGATAGCTGGTTCCAGGAGATACTAGATTTCCGTCCATACCGCGCGGCAGTACTGCACAGGTGTGCGCTTTGTCTGCGCGCGGAAAGCAGAGCTGTTCACTGCCTGCTCTTGGCAGAGGCTCCCAGGAGAGCGATAGTAGAGCAAAACTCCTTACACCGTGGTGTATTTAACTAAGTGTAAGTCCCCACGTTGGGTTTTTCTATGGAAATGGTGGTTTCAAGGCAGCAGAAAGCTCCCGCGTGGTGTGTGCAGCTGAGGGGTCCCTCACCCCCCCTGACGGAGGGGTGCCCCTTCTCCTTCCGTGAAGAGCCCGAGATGCGGCCCCTCTCTCGAGCAGAGAGAACGGGTTAATGCACAGCCCGCTGTGTTTGTGCTGGACAGTTGCTGAGTGAATAAAACGGGAGCACAGTGGAAGGGTGCCAGGGGTTAGCGGGGTGCTTGGTGTGGCGTCCGGGCTGCGGTGTGCCGCGGGGGTGTCGGGAGCACAGCGCTGCTGCTTACCGAAACAGTCAGTGCTGCTGGGCTTTGCTCTGCCCTGTGGGCACGCGGGACTTCAGACGCAGTGTTGTAACAAATGCCTGCATTTTTCCTTTGGTTATCTGAAATTCTCCTTTTAAAGCTGAACCCCAAGCTTTTCATGGAGTCTTTGTATGCTGCTTTTCCCGGATCTCTGAGGGATGAATCAAAGCAGAGAGCTTATCAGGAGGAAGTTCGCTGAACACTGAAGGGAAACTCCTTGTTTCCGCTTCAAAAAAATCTGATACTTGATTGTCGACAGGCTGCTGGTCAGAGTCTGTTGTAAGGAAGTTAGGAGGTCTGGTCACAGTTCAGTTACACGGGCTGTATCTAAGGAATGTGGGGCATTGGCTGTATTGTTTTGTCACTTAAAATATCCATCCTCTGAAATAACGATGTTGTGAATACTGATTCACCTGGTGCTGGGCTGGGGCTCCATCCACGTTGGGTGAATAATACGTGAAGATGCAAAAATGAAGTTGGTTTGTATTTACACTTGTGTAATTGTATTCCTGAGGAGCAATATATATTTTGAATAAAGTATGAGTTCTTCATGAGGGAAACTCTTCTGAGTGAGTATATTAATTTTTTTCACTAGGAACAAGCGGCTGCTTCTTGGGCTCACAGAATTTTTGCCGTTTGTGATAAAAAGGCACGTGTCTTTCCCGTGCCTACCCCGCTGCTTGGTGAGAAGGCCTGATGCCAGGAGTTCCAGCGTCTGAGCTCTCCCTTCCTTTGTAAATGAGTGGGAAGGGTGAAGGTGACAACACGGATACTTACGTGTGAATTCAAGATTTTTCAGTATGGAAATGCGTTTGGCTTAAGGGCTGTAGCTTGAAAATAACCTCTTTGCTCTGCTGAGGAAATGATAAAACTTCTTGTGGGTATTTTGTACATGCTTCCAATGCCATCAATAAACAATAGGAGAAGTCTGTAGGACAGCTTACGTACTGGCTGGTAATGATTTATTGTTGCTGCAGTGCGTTGAAGCGCTTCATCTGTCTCTCTGTAAATGGTTGAACCGGGGAGGGATCTGCTGCTTCCCCTGTCCCCCAACTGACGGTTTTCCTGTAGATACTTGATATACGCTTTCCCATTCTCAGTTTTAATCTGCTGTTATTTAATCTTTCAGTTCTTGGAGCAAAAGCTGAACTTCAATCTGCAGTTTCACATTTCATTCCTTGAGCTCTATGTGTGTTGGACATCAAACGAGACAGAATAAGACAGAAACAGGAAAATTTTGTGACGCCGCTTAGAACAACCTAATCCAAAATTCCGGTGTGGTGAACGGTTTGCAGTAAGTCCAGCTTTGCTGGGTGTGCAAGAGGCTGGCGCCGCGTGGCTCGGGGTGCCTGGTGTCTGCTGCGTGCCCGCTGGGCTTCGGGTGATCGTCCCGCGGCCGGGAGGGCCGGGCCCGGCCCTGGGCCAGGCTGTAAGCTGACCGGTGTTTATCCCAGTGTTGAGCTGGCCTGTGAGTGATGGTTTATAGTCTTAGGTGTTGATAAATTCAGTTTTCCCAAAGGATGAATTTTCATCATTAGTTCAGATATGGCATGCTCCACGTCTAGCGTTTGGGAAGGCACGAAGTAATTAAGTCTGCTGTATCTTCATGCTAATGAAACTGGAAAGATGGCTGATATGCATCCATTATCTTCCAGTCCTGATCTGAGAGGCCTCACCTTGTTCCGTACCCCCCTGAGCCTGAAAATAGCCAGTAGGCATGTTGTTGTTAATGGCACTTCCTCCCTCAAAGCGCTGGGTTATTATCTAATTTCTGATGAAGAAATCGTTGGGAGCTGGAAACTTCTGACAAATCGTTTTGCCATTGTCTTCCTGACATCCCTCCTGTTGCTAGAGAGGGAAGACAGCCCGTAGCATGCTGCTCTCTGAAAGGTTCAGTTGTGAGGATAATTTCCTAATTGCTTGGCTCTTGTTTGATTACAGAGTCATTAACACGATATTTTTTTGAAATGTGTTCAACCTAATGGGATTAGGGATCTGTTACCGTTACCAGAAATGTTTATTTGATGTGGCTGCATAATGTTTTTAAGGTGAGGTGGTAGAACTGCACAGCCCTGTTTTTTCAGAAGCGTTTATGTATTAAGAACAAGGCTGAACTGAATAGTTGGAGTCCACTTGGCTCAGACTAAGTTCTTAATTCTTTTGTTCCTCATGTTTGTTTGCACCTCCTGGCACATCCTTTGGTGGAACCGGTCATCTGTGACGTCTTTGTATGCGTTAAGCCAGCCGATCTTCCCAGTTTGAGCTTTTCACAGAACTTGCACCAGGTTCCAGTTGTGGGGTCCCGTCTCTAGATGCAGGGAAATGGCCCTGGCCTTGCGCTGTGCCGTTAGAGCAGCCTGCCTGCCGGCTCTCCCTGGGGCTCTGCTCCGAGCCAGGCCCAGTGACGGACTCTGCTCTGAGCCGGACTCAGTGCTGGGGTTTGCTCTGAGCCGGGCTCAGTGCTGGGCTCTGCTCCGAGCCGGGCTCAGTGCCGTTGCTGTCTCCTTTGGTGCCCCCCGAGAGGTGGACTGAGAGGCTGGGGCCATCGCCGTGGCCCTGGGGCCAAGTGGCAGGCACAGAGATCTTTTAGGAATTGTCTTTAGAGCTTCATCCGCGCTCCCTGAATCGGACAAGACACTGGCGGATGCGGACGGGGTAGCCTGGGGTTTATCTGTGCGGGGTTTCCGCCTGGCCC